ATTGATATGTTATTGGGTACTAAATTTTTCCACTAAAAATTCTAAATATAGATCAACTTTTTCTGGTAGGTCACATATAACGGTACCTCCAACTTTCGGAATTTTGAGGGTTTCGAGCATGTTTTTCAACCGAATTCGCTGTAATTTGGCTGTTTGTGTTCTTATTGGAAACCAAACATCTCCAATAAAAATTATAAATATAGGAGGGGGTTTCAAAAGTATGGAATTCTAAGACAAATTAACCGATTTATCCATCTGTGTTAAATCATTCAACCTTCGTAAGATATCGAGATAAAACCAGTAAGGAAAGTAGTAAAGTCGGACTGGGCCGACTATATGATACCCTTCACCACTTTGGGTATATTCTACATATGTATCCTAACATACCCGATTTCAGGGTAACTTGCTAGAGATTAATTTGTATTACATCAGTACGTTGTGTAAATCGGCCTAGCTATGAATCTTTTCAGAAGCTTAGCAACATCATTCTAGCCTTAATTTAGTACGCTATGACAAATTTGGTGCAAATCGAATGTTTTTCAGAGATGTTGGTGCACCAATTACCTAAAATCGGATGAAAATATATGTGGGAGCTATATCTAAATCTGAACCAATTTTCACGAAACTTTGCACACATTATTATAGACGCAATTCAGTACGCTATGTCCAATTTCGTACAAATCGAAAGATATATAGGGTCTTTGGTGCACCAATTACCTTAAATCGAACGAAAATATATATGGGAGCTATATCTAAATCTGAACCGATTTTCACGAAACTTAACACACATAATTCTAGACCTAATTAATTACGCTGTGCCAAATTTCGTGCAAATCGAATGATATATATGGACATGGGTACACCATTTACATTAAATCAGACGAAAATATATATGGGAGCTATATCTAAATCTGGACCGATTTTTCCCAATTTCAATAGGGTTCGTCCTTGGGCCAAAGTGTGACCTATGCCAAATTTCATCCAAATCGGATCATAAATGCGACCTGTACTTTGTTCACAAAAATACATGGACAGACAGACGGACGGACGGACATGCATAAATCGACCATGCATATTGTAAACAGGACCCATGTGTCTACCTCGTTTCCATTTGCCTGTTACAAACATATGCACAAAGACATAATACCCTGCACCACAGTGTGGTGAATATAATGATACCTACTCATTTTCGGTATTTTTATACCCTTCACCACACTGTGGTACAGGGTATTATGTATTTGTGCATATGTTTGTAACAGGCAAAAGGAAACGAGATAGACACATGGTTCCTTTTGAGAATATGCGTAGAATCACTTTCTGAGTCGATTTACGCATGTCCGTCTGTCCATGCATGTATTTTTGTGAACAAAGTATAGGTCGCATTTATGACCCGATTTGGATGAAATTTGGCATATGTCACTTATTTGGCCCAAGGACGAACCCTATTGAAATTGGGAAACATCGGTTAAGATTTAGATATAGCTCCCATATATATTTTCGTCCGATTTTATGTAAATGGTGCACCAAAGTCCCTTTATATCTTTCGATTTGCACTAAATTTGGCACAGCGTAATGAATTAAGCCGTCTGTCCGTCCATGTATTTTTGTTAACAAAGTACAGGTCGCATTTATGATACGATTTGGATGAAATTTGGCATAGGTCACTTAATTGGCCCAAGGACGAACCCTATTGAAATTGGGAAAAATCGGTTCAGTTTTAGATATAGCTCCCATATATATTTTCGTCCGATTTATGGTAAATGGTGCACCAAAGTCCCTATATATCTTTCGATTTGCATGAAATTTGGCATGGCGTAATGAATTAGGTCTAGAATGATGTGTGTTAATTTTCCTGAAAATCCGTTCAGATTTAGATATAGCTCCCATATATATCATCGTCCGATTTAAGGTAAATAGTGTACCAAAGTCCCTATATATCTTTCGATTTGCATTAAACTTGGTATAGCCTACTGAATGAAGTCTAGAATGATGTGTGTTAAGTTTCCTGAAAATCGGTTCAGATTTAGATAAAGCTCCCATATATATCATCGTCCGATTTAAGGTAAATAGTGTACCATAGTCCCTATATATCAGTTTATTTGCCCGAAATTTGGCATAGTGAAATGCATTAGGTCTAGAATGATGTATGTTAATCGGTTCAGATTTAGATATAGCTCCCATATATATACTCGTCCGATTTAAGGTAAATGGTGTACCAAAGTCCCTATATATCTTTCGATTTGCAAGAAATTGGGCATAGCGAACTTAATTAAGTCTAGAATAGTGCACGTTAAGCATCGTAAAAATCGGTTTGGATTTACATATAGCTCCTATATAAATTTTCGTCCGATTTAATGTAAGTGATGTACTTAAGTCCCTATACATATTTCGATTTGCACAAAATTTGGCATAGAATACTGAAATGAGTCTGGAGTGATGTGTGTAAAGTTTCCTGAAAATCGGTTCAGATTTATATATAGCTCCTATATATTTTTTTCCGATTTTATGTAAATTGTGCCCTAAAGACCCCACGTTTGTCCGATTGCCATACAATTTTGTACGATAAAATGTACTTAATATAAGTTAACCTCTGCCTTTCTCATTGAAATCTGTTCAGATTTTATATAGCTTCTACATATATATTTTGGTCCGATTTTACACAAAATTGACACAAATTTTGCAAAACGTACTAAAGTTTTGAAATGTGGAATGTTTTGAACTCGATTCAGATTTGGATAGAGCTTCTATATATATTTCCTCCCGATTTTAAGTAATTTTGTCCCGGTGTAAGAAGCAACCCTATATGTGAATAAATGAAAAATCTAGTATAGTTTGGAGAATTCGACGTCTGTTAGCATTCATCTGTTGAATATACCCAAAGTGGTAAAGGATATCATATAGTCGGCCCCGCCCGACTTTACTGCTTCCCTTACTGGTTTATATTTGGCGTGAAGGAAGGTATTGTGATGCAAAAATGCTAGTTTCGAAATTGAGCTATATCAATCCTCAATTACGCATAGCACCTCATATAATGATAGCTCCAAATGTTCGGTAATTCCTACACGATGTAATCAATATTTGTCCCACTTTAAAAATTGCTTCAAGGTACATTCCGTAAAACTGTAATGATAACTTTCACCTTGAAACACCAGCTTTGGAATATCGTTCCTACCACAAATTGTCCCAATTTTTCGTATAGCCCTAATATACTGGCGCCCCCATTATTCGGTATTTTGGGTTTGGGCACGTTGTTCAACCTAATAAACTGTAATCTGGTATTTTGAGTTCTCGCAAGGTAGAAAATCGTTTTAATAAAAATGACGAATTTTGGTCCACTTTTAGGGCTAGCCTCCATATTTCGGTTTTTGGACAGAGCAGTATTTGGTTTTAACCTCATTTTCCATTGCAGTGGCTGTAAAATTAATTTTTTTTGTTTGGTAGTGTTGGCGGGTTATTTGGGATACCATTTGTATTTTGTTTTTGCAAAATAGTCAGGCTTAATCCCAGTTTGTTGTTTTTATAAAAAACAACTATTTATTAGTGGGGAATGTATGGCATTGTCCGCCGAGGGGTAAGGCAGGGAAGACTATAGTTTCGGATCTCGCCACTGATCCTCATCAGTTCCCTTAGTTTTTTGTTGGGATATTCTCCCCAGAAGCTATTAATAGCTTCTTTACAAAAAACCTTTCAAACCCAAATGTCTCTTGTGACAATTCGAAGTTCTTACGTTACCAGCGATACGACCCCAATGAGAAGTTCGTTTCGTTGGCGCCTGACTTCGTGGTCAACAAGGCATTTACAGACAACTACAATACATTTCCCACTGCTATGTGTCGTCACTTTGTGACGAATGCACATAACGTTGTTGTTGGTATTGCTAGTTAAAGCAATAAACGAAACAGTATGACCGTGCCTCGTCTACAACTTCAGTAGTGTTGGCGGGTTATTTGGGATACCATTTGTATTTTGTTTTTACAAAATAGTCAGGCTTAATCCCAGTTTGTTGTTTTTATAAAAACAACTATTTATTAGTGGGGAATATATGGCATTTTTGGAAAATTGGTCCAGAGTATCCGGTTTGGGAGAAACCGTTTATTATGGGGCTACATCAAAACTTGGACCCAAGGACCCCATTTCCCATACCAGAAGTTTTATTGATATAAAAACCAAATTTGGCCATCTATGTCAAGTGGTTCGCCAGTTAATGAGCTTATACCCAAGGCTATATCAAAACTTGGACCCAGAGACTCAATTTCCCATACCAATATTCGCTCCGACATTGAAAACATGTGAGCCAAATTTTGGCCGCCTATGTCAATTTGTTCGTCAGTTTATGAGTTTGTCCAAACTTGTCCAAAATCAAACAGTAGCCGATATTGCGGGGTGTCGTGCTACCCCAAAAAGAAGACCGAGTTATGTAAATTTTATTAGAGTGACTTTGTACAAAATTGGAATCCAAAATATGAAACTAAAATCATTTCGCTTAAAAAAGTGGGGTTACCTTTTTATGGAGGCTACCCGAAATAGTTGTCAAATATTGACAACTTTTAGTGTGGATATTTGGTACCCATTGAGAACACTAAATACTTAATTATTACAAATTCCATTGAAAAATGCAATGGAAAACTTCAACATACCTACAATTGGGTGAGTGTCATTATATAGTGACCATGCCTTAACTTCAACCAATATAGCCCATCTTCAAGCTCGTCGTGAATGGTATCATATAGTCGGAACGTCAGATTTTGTTTAATATCCTTTCTGATTTGTTATTTTGCTAACATATAAATGAAACGCCTCAAATTTATACAACACAGAACATTCTTATTTAAAATTTTAACAAATATTTTCACAATTTTCTGCTTTAACAATATTTTATTACAACACATAAAGTATGAAAGAAAATAATAATCACCAAATTATCGAAGTAGGTTATTTTTTTTAAATACAAAATCTGTTCCATATTTCATAAAAACACATTTCCAAATAGCAACGCACAATCACCACCAGCCACTTCCTCTGCTAATATAACCACCATTCCAGCCACCATTATTCCAACCGCCATGGCCACCAGACCAACCTCCATGACCACCAGACCATCCACCATTCCAGCCGCCACCACCAACACGACTTCAAACAAATATAAATAAGTCATCCGTTGAGCTATGTCTGTACTTCTAGAAAACGTAACTACGTAATTTTATGCTCAATTTTGTAAGTTGTGCAAAATTTGATGTCAATCTGACTAACATGAGGAGTTTGATGCCCAATTTACTTGAAACCGGGGGAGAATATATATGGAAGCTCTATCCAAATATTAAGCGATTTGAAACAAACTTGTCACGGGTTAGGTTCTACTAATTTCAGAAAGTTTTGTTCCTATCAGCCTATTGATTCCTTGGTGCGTCAATTACTTAAAATCAATCTATATTAAAAGGGAGCTATATCTAAATCTGGAGCGATTTTCTCAAAACTTGACAGACATCACTCTCGGCTCAATTCAGTACGTTATGCAACATTTGGTGCAAATCGAAAGATATATATGGACTTTGGTGCACCATTTACATGAAATCGGACGAAACTATATATGGGAGCTATATCTAAATCTGGATCGATTTTCATAAAACTTGGCAGACGTCATTCTAGGTTCAATTCAGTAAGTTATGCCAAATTTCATGTAAATCAAAAGACGAAAATATATATGTGAGCTATATCTAAATCTGAACCGATTTTTCCCAATTTCAATAGGGTTCGTCCTTGGGCCAAACAAATGAGCTGTGCCAAATTTCATCCAATTCTGATCATAAATGCGACCTGTACTTTGTTTACAATTTAACATGGACAGACAGACGGACGGACAGACTCAGAAAGTGATTCTATGCATATTCTCAAAAGGAACCATGTGTCTATCTCGTTTCCTTTTGCCTGTTACAAACATATGCACAAAGACATAAGACCCTGTACCACAGTGTGGTGAATGGTATAAAATGTAGCCGATACTGCGGGGTGTCGTGCTACCCCAAAAAGAAGACCGAGTTATGTAAATTTTATTAGAGAGACTTTGTACAAAATTGGAATCCAAATATGAAACAAAAATCATTTCGCTATAAAAAGGGGTACCTTTTTATGGAGGCTACCCGAAATAGTTGTCAAATATTGACAACTTTTAGTGTGGATATTTGGTACCCATTGAGAACACTAAATACTTAATTATTACAAATTCCATTGAAAAATGCAATGGAAAACTTCAACATACCTAAAATTGGGTGAGTGTCATTATATAGTGACCATGCCTTAACTTCAACCAATATAGCCCATCTTCAAGCTCGTCGTGAATGGTATCATATAGTCGGAACGTCAGATTTTGTTTAATATCCTTTCTGATTTGTTATTTTGCTAACATATAAATGAAACGCCTCAAATTTATACAACACAGAACATTCTTATTTAAAATTTTAACAAATATTTTCACAATTTTCTGCTTTAACAATATTTTATTACAACACAAAGTATGAAAGAAAATAATAATCACCAAATTATCGAAGTAGGTTATTTTTTTTAAATACAAAATCTGTTCCATATTTCATAAAAACACAATTCCAAATAGCAACAAACAAATCACCACCAGCCACTTCCCCTGCTAATATAACCACCATTCCACCCACCATTATTCCAACCGCCATGGCCACCAGACCAACCTCCATGACCACCAGACCATCCACCATTCCAGCCGCCACCACCAACACGTATTACTTTAATTACTTTGGGATATGAAGTGTAGCCACCATTCCATCCCGAATTCCAACCATTATTCCAGCCACCATGGATGATGCCGGCTGAAGCTGCAGCCACCAATGCGCACAAAATCAATAAAACTTTCATTGTAAAATTGTTGTTGTTTTTGTAGTTTGTCAAAAGTTACAAATTCCTTCCGTTGTAGGCTGGTCAAAAACTCACTGACTGACTGTGCCTATAGTCAAAAATGCTGCAACTATTTATACAAGTGTCATCATTCGCATATTCCGACTTTAAAGCATTCAATTTCGTAAAACCTACAAAAATGTCAAATCAGTCAACGTCATTATACCAACAATAAACAAAACAACAAAAACAAAAATACATATTTAGATTTGCAGACCAATAAGACGCACAGTTTCAGTTGCAACATCATGTTATAGTTGTTGTTGGTGGAGCCTTTGTTGCATTGCAAGACTTTTGTTGGAGATGACTCAAAAGCCGACACATAGACTTTTTTCTTATAAATCCCAACTAAAAAGAAGAACACAAAACTTGTTTCAGTTGTAATCACTCTGGTTTCAACGCAAAATCTTCTGACAGCCACAAAAAGTAGTGACCATGGTCAACAAGTCATTACCAGAAGTTTATCATCGCCAATGTTCCGCAAATCATAGGCTAGCACCGGAGTTGTTTCAAAAAAACGAAATGTAGGAAATATATTTTGTGTGTGGCGTTTTCGAAAGGTTACGCCAAAGATCACATAACAGTTTTGTATACCCTACGAATTGTATGCAACGAATTTGAAACAAAAAAAATGTCAGTTGATGTTATGTTTAAATAAGCTAATTTTTACTAAAAAATAAAATCGTAAAATTTTTGGAAATGGAATCCTCCGGTCACTCTTTTTGGTATATCTTTACAAAAATGTTATAATTTTGAAAATGAGTAAATTTTATATGGGGTCAATACAATATTCGAAACCTTCTAAATTAACCAAAGGGAGTTTGTATGTCTCGTATAGGTGGCGTCCCCAAGTCGAGCTTATGGGGAATGGTGGATGACCACACGTGTCTATTAAAATCAGTTTAACCTGGAAGTATTGGATCAAAATGTTGTTATGGTGGTGGTTTTCCCTTAAAAGGAAAAATATGAATAATTTAACGGTGCAGAACCTAAATAACTCAGTACCGACAAATATCGTTGATCTGCCCACCCCGTCGCCCCGCGTTCTCATACAATGTTTTGGCATCAGGCACGCATCCAACGAGCAAAAATGGATCTGAGTTTAAGACTAATGCAACCGGAGAAGAGAAGAGTCTAATAATAATAAGATGATAGAGGTAGTCAGCAAGTAGATCACAACAATTAAATATCAGTTATATGGGCACAATGGCAATAACTGACCAGGATAAACGGGAAGAATAAATAAACCTCGACTTGAAAGAGGTATGCAAACATGTAAAGGATATTCCCTTCTGCTGATATAAGGAGAATGAAGAACCATACGAACGAAGATTCCTCTTCCCAAGGGGGAAGATGGCAGCAACAATTTATAAGAAGCCGCCATATGGCCAGGATGGGCTATAGAAAGTTTATAGTGTTTATAGAACTCTGTGTCCCGGAAAATAAAAAAAGAAGATTCATTAGGAAGTAATGGATACGGTCAATATTAAGATCTTGGAAAATCCGCTTCAAAGGAAAACCCTTTCGATCTGGATAGCTACGAATTCAAATGGAACTATCTTTTCAGGATAACATGAACTGGGTCAGAAATTAAATTCGGAAAGGACCTCTCGGAATCCTTCAACCGAACAAGGATTCAGACAAGGTGATATTTTGTGGTGTGACTTGTTTAACATCCTGCTGGAAAAGGTCATACGAGATGTGAACAGAAGTGGCACTCTGTACACCAAACCGCATATGTTACTCGTCTACGCCGACGATATCGACAAATGGGTCGAACATTGCGAACGGTAATCTGCCAAAGTGAGACTCGCAGTAAATGGCGAAAATACCAAGCTAGTGTTATCAACGCGAAAGATGTCCGGTAGAGTCGGACCAGCTGTAGAACTTGAACGATTTTATATACCTAATTAAAGAAATATAAACAAAACTAATAACATCAGCTTTGAAATCCGAAGGAGAAAAGTGTTGGCCAACAGATATTACTATGGTCTGAGTAAGCAGCTCAAAAGCAAGGCCATAAATTGCCAGGCCAAACTCACACTCTACAAGACATTGATATTACCAGTGCTGTTGTATGGATCTGAAGCATGGGTACTTGCGCAACAGATTAGACAGCTCTTGGAGTGTTTGAGAGAAAAATTCTCCGGAAGATCTTTGGGCCGATCTGCGTCGATGGTGAATATCACCGTTGAATGAACCATGAGTTGTACCATCTATTCTCTGACATCGACATAGTCAGACGTATCGAGCTGCAACGACTACGTTGGCTATGCCATGTTGTGAGCATGGATGAAGATGCCCCAGCTCAAAAGGCATATAAAAGTGATGGCCAAGTGATGGTTCACGCTGTAGGGGAAGGTCACGAATCCAAAGGAAAGGTCAAGTAGAAGACAACATCTCTGAAGATGACGCGCTTGGAAATCTTTCTTAAGCTCGGCTTATGAACAACCGTTCTGTAATAAGCCAGCTAAGTAAGTAAGTAAGTAGGTTCATGTTTTGACATAACATCCCGCTCCATTTTTTGCATCCACATTTTCCCACCAATGAAGATATTTTTATGTAGAAAGTTATAAATATAGTTCACGTTTTGCCATACCTAAATATCCTAGCCAATTTAGTGCGAAGATGCGGTTACTTCGCACTAAAGTGGCCCTTATTTTGTATTTCGGGATTATGGAAACAGATATTTCTATTTAGGCAATTTTGTGCGATTTATCCTAAGATACTATAATTTGGCATTTTCACGTTCTTGTTTAATAAAACACTTCTCGCCAGACAAGATTCAATATTTATCAGATTTTAAATGTATACAGAAGTCCCGCCTAATTATACCTTTCACCACACTGTGGTACAGGGTATAATATCTTTGCGCATATGTTTGTAACAGGCAAAAGGAAACGAGATAGACACATGGTTCCTTTTGAGAATATGCATAGAATCACTTTCTAAGTCGATATATGTATGTATGTCCGTCCGTAAGTCCGTCTGTCTGTCTGTCCATGTTAAATTGTAAACAAAGTAGAGGTCGCATTTATTATTCGAATTGGATGATACGAATGAAAACGAACGAACCCTATTGAAATTGGGAAAAAATCGGTTAAGATTTAGATATAGCTCCCATATATATATTCGTCCGATTTAAGGTAAATGGGGCACCAAAGTCCCTAAATAGCTCTAGATTTGCACGAAATTTGGCATTGCGTACTGAATTGATTTAAGGTAAATGGTGCAACAAAGTCCTTAAATATCTTTCGATCTGCACGAAATTTGACACAGCGTATTGAATTAAGCCTAGAATGATGTCTGCTAAGTTTCCTAAAAATCAGGTCAGACTTAGATATAACTCCCACATATATATATATATATATATATATATATATAAATGGTGTACCGATTAAATCGGTTCAGATTTAAATAAATGGTGCACCAAAGTCCGAAAGGCCCAGTCCGACTTTACTACTCTCCTTACTGGTTTTTTCTATGTTAAAGTTTATAGTCTAGTTTCCCAACTTTGGTGCCTGAAATTTGAAATTTTATTTTCTAAGTGTATTTCTAAGTGTACGAAATTTGGAATGTACATCACATGGTAGTGAGTATAAAAGTTTTAGCCAAGGCGAACATATCCACGGTTTTGCCATGCATTGCATTGTATTTTTCTTTAAATTCTGCCGATTTTACAACGAGACTTTGTTTTCAGACTAGATATTGCATAAATATTGTCAAAATAAATATACACTCTTACATATCATAGAGTGCGCACAAATATACATATGAAAACAGGAAACAGACACAAATTATTAACACTTATGTATGGTGTCTTCGAGAATGACAATCTAAAATTTTGATCTAATCCCTACATAAACATTAATGTAATCCAGACATGATCTCATGAACCTTAATAATTGCCACACTGAAAGAAGCAATATAGTGTTAAGTATAACATATAAACATTTTACAGACAAAAACCAGTAAGGAAAGTTACAGACAAAAACCAGTAAGGAAAAGTAAACTTGGCACACATCATTCTGGATTAAATTCAAAACGCTATGCAACATAAGAATTTGGTACATTATTTAGATTAAATCGGACGAAAATATATATACCTAGATCTGAATGGATTTTCACGAAACTCAGCACACATCATTCTAGCATCAATTCGGAACGCTATGCCAAATTTTGTGCAAATCTAAAGATACATGTGGTGCACCATTTACATTAAATCGGACTAAAAAATATATATGGGAGCTATATCTAAGTCTTGACCGATTTTCACGAAACTTGGCATACATCATTCTGGATTAAATTCAAAACGCTATGCAACATAAGAACTTGGTACATTATTTAGATTAAATCGGACGAAAATATATATGGAAGCTATATCTAAATCTGGATCGATTTTCACGAAACATACCAGACATCATTCTAGGCTCAATTCAGTACGTTATGCCAAATTTCGTGCAAATCAAAAGATATATAGGTACTTTGGTGCACCATTTACATGAAATCGAACGAAACTATATATGGGAGCTATATCTAAATCTGGACCGATTTTCACGAAACATACCAGACATCATTCTAGGCGCAATTCAGTACGTTACGCCAAATTTCGTGCAAATCGAAAGATATATAGAGACTTAGGGGCACAATTTACATTAAATCGGACGAAAATATATATGGAAGCTAAATTTTCCCAATTTCAATAGGGTTCGTCCTTGGGCCAAACAAATGAGCTGTGCCAAATTTCATCCAATTCGGATCATAAATGCGACCTGTACTTTGCTCACAAAAATACATGGACAGACGGACGGACGGACATGCATAAATCGACTTAAAAAGTGATTCTATGCATATTCTCAAAAGGAACCATGGGCCTATCTCGTTTCCTTTTCCTGTTACAAACATATGCACAAAAACATAATACCCTGTACCACAGTGTGGTGAAGGGTATAAATATCAAT